CCTGTCCTTTAACCCCCCACTGACCTCACCTGAGCTGACCCCTGACCTCTGACCCCCTGACCCCTGACCAGTGACCGCCCCCTTCTCCCTAACCCTGGTCTTGACCACCCCCCTTTGACCCCTGACCTCGGCTCAAGTTTGGGATGATCCTCTTGGAATTCAGCCCAGTTTTGACCCCATCCCTGACCCCCTACTGACCTCACCTGAGATGACCCCTGACCTCTGACCCCTGACCCCCCCAGGCTCATCAACAAGCTGCAGCCGGGCTCGGTGCCCAAGGTGAACGAGCCCGTCCAGAACTGGCACAAGGTGAGGGGGGGACCCCAAAATCAAGGGGGGGGGGTCCGGGAGCAGATCCAGCTCCAGGACCCGCCCCCCAAACCCACCCCGGGCCCCCCTTTCCCAGCTGGAGAACATCGGGAACTTCCTGCGGGCCATCACACGCTACGGGGTCAAAGCCCACGACATCTTCGAGGCCAACGACCTCTTCGAGAACACCAACCACACCCAGGTCCAGTCCACCCTCATCGCCCTCGCCAGCCAGGTGACCCCCCCGGGGTGGTATGGGGGCCTGGGGGGGCCATGGAGGGGGCAGGAGGTCCTGGGGGGGCTCTGGAGGGTCCCCGTGTCCCACAGGTTTGGTGCTCCCCCGTCGCTCTCATCATCCAGGTGACCCCCCCCAGGGGGGTGGGACCACCCGGGTGACCCCCCCGAGGGGTGGGACGGAGTCCTGGAGTCCCGGGGGGTTGAAATGGGGGGTCCTGGGAGGCCCCAGAGGGTCTGGGAAGCTCTGGAGGGTCCCCACATCCCACCCCCTCCACCCCACTGTGGTGCCCCCTCCCCTGGGGTCTCGGGGGGTCCCCCCATGACCCCCCCTGACCCCCGGGGGTCTCCCCCCAGGCCAAGACGAAGGGGAACAACGTGAGTTTGGGGGTGAAATACGCGGAGAAGCAGCAGCGGCGCTTCCACCCCGAGAAGCTGCGCGAGGGCAGGAACATCATCGGGCTCCAGGTGACACCGGGGGACACCTGGGGACACCTGGGGACACCTGGGGACACTTGGGGACACGGGAGGGACACACAGAGGACGGGGAGGGGGGGTTAGGGGGTGTCAGGACACGGGTTGGGGTCCGGGAGGGTCTCTGGGGACACCCCCGGGGGGGTGGCAGTGCCCTGGGGACAGTTGGTGACCCCCCGTCCCCTCTGTCCCCAGATGGGCACCAACAAGTTCGCCAGCCAGCAGGGCATGACGGCCTACGGGACACGGCGGCACCTCTACGACCCCAAACTGGGCACGGACCAGCCCCTGGACCAGGCCACCATCAGCCTCCAGATGGGCACCAACAAAGGCGCCAGTCAGGTGGGGACAGGGGGGGACAGGGGGGACACTGACATCACCATGGGGACACCAACACCACCACGGGGACAGGGGGACACTGACAGCCCTGGGGGGGACAGGGGGACAGTGCCATGTCCCCTTTGGGCTGCCCATATCCCCTCTGGGGTGCCTGTGTCCCTTTTGGACTGCCCGTGTCCCCTTGGGGTGTCCACATCCTCTCGGGGTCCCTATGTCCCCTTGGGGTGCCCATATCCCCTTTGGGGTGCCCATATCCCCTTTTAGGGTGCTCATATCCCCTCGAGATGCTCATATCCCCTTTGGGGTGCCCGTATCCCCTTTTAGGGTGCCCATATCCCTTTTGAGGTGCCCGTGTCCCCTTTGGGGTGCCCATATCCCCTTTTAGGGTGCCCATATCCCCTTTAGGGTGCCCGTATCCCCTTTTGGGGTGCCCGTATCTCCTCGGGGGGTGCCCGTGTCCCTTTTGGAGTGCTCGTGTCCCCTTGGGGTGTCCACATCCCCTCGGGATGCCCATATCCCTTTTGGGATGCCCATGTCCCCTTTGGGGTGCCCATATCCGCTTTTAGGGTGCCCGTATCCCCTTTGGGGTGCCCATATCCCCTCAGGGGGTGCCCGTCTCCCCTTTGGGGTGCCCATGTCCCCTTTTGGGGTGCCCGTATCCCCTCGAGGGTATCCATATCCCTTTTGGGGTGCCCATATCTCCTCGGGGGGTGCCCGTGTCCCTTTTGGAGTGCCCGTGTCCC